GTAGCGAGATATCTTGATGGATCAAAAGGTTCGGATGTATTGGGTACAAAGCAAGCGTTAGTGGTCATCATCATCCTTCAATATATTCCTAGGTTTTTGCGATTTGTTCCATTAAGTTCGGATTTGAAAAAGACTGCGGGGGTGTTTGCAGAAACTGCTTGGGCTGGTGCTGCATATTATCTGTTGTGGTTTGTGCTGGCTAGTCACGTAAGTAACTTCTCAAGTCTGTTCATTATTGCATTTAGTACTGTTAACTGCTTTTGTTCTTTCATTCTATGTCAAGAAGAATTACCTACTCATGTTGCTACAATTTATCGTGAATTCTTTTGCCTGATAAGGTTCGACATATAAGAATGTATACAATTAACAAGATAAAACATCAGGTTACCATACTCTTAACGAATCATTTTTGTATTTAGTGAAGCTTAGTGTTTTATCAAAATGCTTGCTAAAAGACCCTTTATAGGTTATTGGTTTTCCACTCTGCTTTTCTCTGGTTCTTGGTCTAGAGTATGGAAATTCTGTGATAGCTGTTCCTTTTTCTAGATTTCGTAGCACAAATAGCTTTGTGCCTTGGACTACTACTTTAATGTGACTCATAGGATGCATTTGTTAAAGGCCACCATTTGGGACACTGCGTTACATTCTTTCATCCTACTTATTGAGCACAAGTTGTACATTACTCCTATCTATGTCCCCCAACCTCGATTGGTAGACTGGATCCTTTTATTTCTTTTTCCTTTTGGCATACTTTGTTATCATTCTAATCTGAGTTGTTAACTAGAATTCCATCAGTTATTAGTATTTGATTATATGGTACTAGGAGAAGCTAATTTATCTCCAGTTAAATAACCAATGTGGTATCTCAATCATGATGAGAAGGCCATCGTTCAAGAGTCCAGAAATGCTTGAAGTCTGTTGTTTGTGATATGCAGATCTTCGGGGCCTTCTGGTACCTGTTATCCGTCGAACGCAAAGATACATGTTGGAATGAAGCATGTAGTGAAAATGAGCAGTGCAATGAAAAAATATCTTATCTGTATTGTTCACGTGAAGGAAACTTTAATGTGACAGAATGGCAAGAAATTGGTAAGAGTGTTCTTGACGAGAAATGTTCTGAGGAGGAAAACTTTCAGTATGGAATATATGCAAGAGCTGTAACATCTGGTGTTCTTGACTCTGAGGATTTCGTTGTCAAATATTGTTTTTGTTTGTGGTGGGGCTTGCAGAATTTGAGGTAAAATTTCAGCTATATGATGCCTCTAATAATATTGTTATTTTCTCTCCTTTGTTCACTTTGTCTTTGGTCAATATTTGTCTGCCTCATGATTTTCCCTGTACATGTGTGGTGTTCACCACAGTCAGAAAATCACCCTTTGGTCAATGCCGCCTTACAAGGCCTCCTGAGCTTAACTAGTTTGATATTTCATTTTTTTACAGCACACTTGGTCAGGGGCTTGAAACCAGTACCTATACTCTAGAAAATCTCTTTTCAATAATATTGGCCATTTCCGGACTCCTACTATTTGCTCTTCTCATTGGAAACATGCAGGTGCGTTGATTAAAGAGGCCTTTATGTTTTGGTTTTTCTGCGAACCTTTTTCTTAAGGTTGAACTTGTCAGATTCTTTAGACGATGATGCAGAATAGTACCAAGCTTTTCAGTGTCATACTTCTTTTATTCTTTTAGTTTCTTTTTGAGGGTCAAAGCTGGCAATATCTTGAACAGGACTTATAGCCACTATTGCCTGGATACTTGGCGTTAAAGTTCAAATACAATTGCATGATTTGCTAGTATTGAGAAAATTGACCCAAGAAATTCAAAATCGGATAAGCACCATAGGGATTTTATTAGGACTTATCTCAGTTGTTTTTCTCTTCGCGTCAAGTTGGCCTTTGAAGGAGTCGTGGCGTTTGCTTACTATTAGTTCAACATTAATAAAACTGCCTTCTCATATTGCTAAAATTTTAAACATATGGCTCTCTCGGTTCCTCTAACTGCTTGGTTGGTGGAGACGGAAGGTGAAGCGGAAAAAGGAGATTTACCTCCTATTTTAGTATTTATCCTTCTCTGATGTTGTTTAATCAGAGTGGATGAAAATGTAAGGAATTTGGTCCTTCTTTTTTCATATTATTCCTAATACAGATTGGTTCGAACAATAAAAATGGAGGGATTGCATAACCTACCTTGTTACGTCCTAAAAAAAAGGGAGAAATGACTTTAACAACTGCTAATTGCCTGGTTGTATTATACAATACTACTATTAAACTTTAGGAACATGGAAATTCTTTAACAGATACAGGTAGTACTTGTTGTATTAGGAAAACGTTTAAGTTCGTACATTCCAACAGTGTTGAAATCTTTTGTTCCCTACAGACCTATCTTCAGTCTCTGACGGTACGCCTTGAGGAAATGAGGGTCAAAAGGCGTGACTCCGAGCAATGGATGCATCACAGAGTACTTCCTCCTGAGCTAAGGGAGAGAGTTCGACGTTATGATCAGTACAAATGGCTGGAAACTAGAGGAGTAGATGAAGAAAGTTTGGTGCAAAATCTGCCGAAAGATCTTAGAAGGGATATTAAGCGGCATCTTTGTTTGAATTTGGTCAGAAGGGTAAGTACTCTTTTCTTATTGATAACCCTGTTTCAGTATCTTCAAGAGTTTTGAGAAATTTGATAAGTGTGCATAGAAATGTAAAGAATTTACACTTTTGGGCATGATACCGGAGTACCTTAATTTGAATTGTTGTAATATTGTAGGTGCCCTTGTTTGAGAACATGGACGAGAGGTTACTTGACGCAATCTGTGAGCGGTTGAAACCAAGTTTATGCACAGAAAATACGTACATAGTTAGGGAAGGAGACCCGGTTGGTGAAATGCTGTTTATAATCCGTGGTCACCTAGAGAGTGTAACAACTGATGGTGGAAGAAGTGGTTTCTTCAACAGAGGTATTCTGAAAGAAAATGACTTCTGCGGGGAGGAACTGCTGACATGGGCATTGGATCCTAAATCCGGTTCAAACTTGCCGCCATCCACTAGGACTGTAAAGGCACTAACAGAAGTAGAGGCATTTGCCTTAGAAGCAGAGGAAGTGAAGTACATTACATCTCAGTTCAGACGGCTGCAGAGTCGACAGGTACAGCACACTTTCAGATTTTACTCGCAGCAATGGAGAACGTGGGCTGCCAGCTTTATACAAGCTGCATGGCGTCGGCATATGCGGAGAAAAATTGCAGAACTTCGTCACAATGAAGAATTGGAAGAAGACGACTATAATGAGAACGATGATGGAGATTCGGAGTTGACACCAATGTTGCATAAAGCTCCGGAGCGACCACGTTAGCCTCTGAAATTTTGCAGCTTGCTATGTGTGGAGTTCATAGGCTTCAAAACTCAGAGTTCTAGAGGGTATATAAAACTCATGAAGCCTTCTAAGCCTGGCTTTAGTGTCCATAATTCAGACTAATTACTTGGTCAAGAAAAAGTTTTGTTTTTTTGTGTGTGTTTGAATTTTAATTATGACAGAGTTGTTTTTGAATTGCTGTAAGAGAATTAGTTTTGTGTTTTGGAAGTGTCTAAATTTTGTAAAACAACAGTTAATACAACAAAAGTATTTTATTTCCTAGTCCAAGCGGAGAAAGTATTTTCCCTATGGAGAAGGCAATTGTAATGCTTTTCTTCTAATAGAAATGTTTATTCTCGGGCGTTCTACACAATAAGTATAGTGGACTACCTGTATCAGGAGGAAGGTGAGTGGAACTTTTTCAATAAGAGGTGTTGTCTACGCAGAAATAATCTGAAAGTATATTATGGAATCGATCTCAAGATTCTTTAACGATCTACAACTGGAAAAAAAAAAAAGAAAAAAAGAAAACCTCCAACTTGTTACATTTGTTCTGCTGTTCAACTATGCCATGCAGAAGATGCTTCTAAATAAAATAAACGAGTACTTCATAGGATTTAGGCTTGTAAACAGAGACCCCTTGCTTGGGATCAACAGCTCCTCCTACTTCATTCTTGACACATCGAATTGCCTTTAATGCTGGTGATTTTGCTGAGGTTTTGAAGACGGGAAAGTGGAGGAGCTGGAAAATGGGTTTGGCTAAAGAAGGGTGGTGGCAGCGACAAAGAGGGGAGAGAGATGGGTGGGCGTGTGGTGGTGACAATGCCGCACGGCCATTGACACAATCACACAATGGTTGGCTGATTCTTCTGTTTTGTGATCGGACACACAAACAAGGTGGAGGGATATATAACAGACTGGACACTTTTGAGGATAAAGGCGTTTTCTTGCTAATAATAAAGAATGATTACTTGATTTATATAAAAATTCAAAGAATTTTCTTTTAGCAAAATCTTTTTAAATTTTTAAAAAAAATCAGATTGTTAACTACTGTGGCTTGCAATACTTTGTTATGTAACTTCCGAATATGTAATTTTTATTTTAGAAAACTTAGAATCCACCCAAAAATTAAGTAGTTTAATCCTCGTGCTTCTTATTCGCCAACAGGAAGGGAGAAATTCACTTCAGACTAAAAGCTATAAAACAACTTAAATTCTGTAAAAGCCTATTAGGCAGGCATACCTATCAGATATGGCTGCCTGGCAGCCCGGTGCACTAAGCTCCCGCTATGCGCGGGGTCCGAGGAAGAACCGGACCACAAGGGTCTATTGTACGCAGACTTACCCTTGCAGAAATGCATGAGGCTGTTTCCACGGCTTGAACCCGTGACCTCCTGATCACATGGCAGCAACTTTACCAGTTACGCCAAGGCTTCTCTTCTTATAAAACAACTTAAATATTACAAGAAATTTTGTCCAATATTTACTTTATCAATCAACTTTATGCTCCATTAGACGAGTGATGTATACTTTAGAGGTAAAGAATATTCCTCACCATCTGACAGGTTGGAAGTCTGAGTTGTAATTAAAATTAATCACTCGCCTTAACTACGAAACTTTGCTTATCCAGAAAAATGTAAAGCATAGATGAAAGAGAGAAGAAAACGAGAGTAGTGACTTGGACTACTGCAACTTATCCTTGTGTAAGGAGATCACCAATAATCTTTACAAGAACATGAACCTTGTACAAAATGGTGAAACCGGGTTCTGTCTCTAACAACTAGTTTTCTATTGTAAAGTTTTGATATTAACTTTGCTACATGGTGGCAATCAGCACAGATTCTAAGGTTTTTCACTATCCTGATAGTGGATCCAGGTTCAGAATTAATTAAAGCGAATGCAATCGCCAACTTCTCACTGTGCCGAATAAGGGAGTTCTCTTTCTCCTCTTCTCCTGTGTCAAGAGAAACCTCTGAAGTATCAGGAACATAGCCTGCTAATTTCAATTCTTCAATCAACTCAGCCAACTTTAAATAGATGCTTTTAGATTGAGGATGAGACTGATCCCCTGCAACAAATTCATGAACAATCCCATGCATCTCTATCAGACTACAACCTGGCGTCTTCTTGATTCCCTGATCCGTCATTATTCCTCTTATCTCGCGCAAGTTTTCCCATTTTTTACAAGCTGCATATATATTACACAAGAGAACATAGACGGCCCCATTTTCAGGCTCTAGCTGAAGAAGTTGTTGAGCTGCAACCTCAGCCATTCGAACATCCTTGTGAACTTTACAAGCACCAAGAAGAGCTCCCCAAACAATTGAATTTGGTTTCATTGGCATATTCTTTATAACCTCATAAGCTTCCCCCAAGCGCCCTGCTCGACCAAGAAGATCAACCATACAGCCATAATGTGTAACATTAGGTTGAATGCCGTGCTGAGAGGTCATGCTAATAAAAAACCTTTTTCCTTCCTCTACCATACCCATATGAGTACAAGCACTAAGCACGCCAATGTAAGTCACCTCATCAGGTGTTTCTGAAGCTCTCAACATATCAGAAAACATATCTAGAGCTTCTCTCCCATTTCCATTAGTTGCAAGACCGACAATCATGGCTGTCCATGTGAATTTGTCCTTGCAAGGCATTTCAGAAAACACCATCAGCGCCTTTTCCACATTCCCACACTTAAAGTACATGTCTATGACTGCGTTCCCCAAGTGTCTATCAACCTTAATCTTGTGCTTGTCGATGTAAGCCTTGATCCACTCTCCAAGTTCAAGAGCCCCAAGATGTGCACATGTGGTAAGGATGCTAACCATAGTGAACTCATCTGGTCGTATCTTTGCTGTTTGCATTTCACGGAAGAGCATTAAGACATCTTTAGATCGGTTTTCTTTGACATATCCATCAATCATGGCTGTCCAACATATGGAATCCCTCTCTGGCATCTGATCAAAATATTTCCTAGCTACATCAACTTGTCCAATGTTCGCGAAACCTTTGACAATTGTGGTCCATGATATAACATCTCTATGCTTCATGCTCTGAAATAGGCCAAGTGCAACATCCATCTTTCCAGAACCCGCATACAGGTCAATTAAAGCATTGTTCAAAACCAAATTAGACTCTACCTTACAGTCCTTAACATATTGATGAACTCGGTTGCCAGTATCTAAATCCTTAAGCTGTGAGAGAGCGGATATTACTGAGACAAGAGTTACAAAAGTGGGCTGCAATCGCTTCTCCTCCATTGCATAAAAGAGTTTCCTTGACTCTCCAAATTGTCTGGACCTGTTGTACCCAGAAATCATAGCATTCCAAATTAGTATATCAGTTTTAGAACTCAAATCAAATACGCCACGAGCCATATCAACTTCCCCACTTAAACAGTACATATGAATCAACGAATGCTGAACAAACCCATTTAACTCAAACCCGAATTTAAATATATGAGCATGCGTACTTTTCCCTATGTTTAACGATATTTCAGGAGTAAAACCCTTAAGGAAGAAGGGGAATGTATAATTGTCCGGTCGTACATTGCCATTTAACATCTCTCTGTAAATTGACACTGCATTTTCTGGACTATTTTCTCTTGAATAGCCCTTGATCATTGTATTCCAAACGAAGACTCCTGGTTCATGCATTATGTCAAACAGAGAACGAGCATATTTCATATCACCTGATTCAGAAGTAGCACAAAAAGCTATGATCTTGGAGCAGATTGTGGGATCAGAAGCAAGGCCATTTTGGATCGTTACTGAGTGAATCTGCCTAAGTTGGTCCATAGATTTGCAGCTTTCTACGATCGCGTGTAGGGATAAATAGACTTCTGGAGAAAAGTGAAGATGAGCTAGTTGGGAGACTTGGTTTGGACATAGTGAAGCTATGAAGAACACACTTTTTTTGTGGAAAGACGAATTTAAATTATATGACAAGTTTGAGAGTCTCCTGAGAGACCTTGAGACTACCATGTGATGCTAATCTAAGGTTTCATCCACATTTTTGAGCTCTTGCAGATAGATTGAAGACAGCGAAATAAGCAAATAAGCAGTAGTGGCCTTCTGCACCAGAAGAGTTCCAAGACGAAAATTTGGTACTAAAGCCTAACAAGTTTAGAGGTGCAGTAACTGCTTGTTTGGAGTTGTTACCTATTCTATTGTATCATGTTGTTATTTTAAATATAATATTTATTTTGATTATTAGTTAATTTTATTGTAGCGTATCATTAAATCAATCGTTAAGTAATAACAAAAAATACAACTTTATGGAATGACGAATTTGGTGTGCCACTTTATCGTTACTTTCTGTTTCCTTGCTTTTTTATCTCATATAGCCCTTCCTTATTACTATTAAATGATCATGTATTATCATTTCCCCTATTTTTTGTATAATAATATGACAATTAAAAGGGAACGGATGCAGCATTCAAATTTCGCTAACACATCTAATGTGTAATCACTTGATGCATTCAATATTAAGTGTTGAAACTTGAAACTAATTTATTTGATTTTATCAGATGATACAATGGTATTGATAGCCTTAGAGCCTTCAATCTTCTGCACAATCTAAACAGCAGATTTTTTTTCAATCACTAGCTTCCGTATATATTCCTACTTTTTTTCAGAAAGATGAAAGAGTGAATCTATTTTGGTAAAGTTGGTGAAAGAATATGAATTTCATTGACCTATAAGCTTGTGTGCACAAAAATGTTAATATAAAGGCGAAGAAAAAAGAAAACAAAAAAGAAACTAAAAGAAAAAAATCTTTACTAACAAAGCTAATACTCCATTTTAACCATTGATGCTGGGACTCCGGATGGGAGCTCCCAAGATTCATATTGGAGCCAATCCTTTGCACAACTGAGAGCCTCAAGAGTTATGGGTCTCAAAGAACTACGGTGGCTGTCCAAATTTCGCGGTGTAGTGTCGAACACAGAATCTGGAGTAACTGTGCAGACGGGGATGGATAAAATATCAGATGCCATTTTGGAGAGAGTGGGGTACTTGGATCTGTTTATTCTCCACCAACCCAAAACATCAAAATCTTGTGAACGGGGCATGAGAGATTCTTCAAGATACTGATCTAACTCTGTTTTCATCTGCTGATTGTTCATAATGTCATGGAGATAGACATCAAAATCTGCAAATGTATCACCATTAGGAAGGAAACTATCTTCCTGACAGAATTCTGATTTTATAATATTCTCATTTGCTTCATCCACAAAATTAGGCGGAGGCGGAGGAAGTGATTGCACGATGTAATCACAAAATAGTTCGTGCACTCCCTCATCAACAATCTTGATCCAAGTTTCAGCTTCTTCACCATAGATCTTGTTAAAGGTGAACTCGACTATCTTCATCTTGAACCTAGGATCCATAACAACAGCAACTGCTAAAACCAGGTTGCAATCATTCCAGTATTTGTCAAACTTCTCCTGCAATGGTTTAGTCAAATTGCTTACGAAATGATCCGGGCTATGGGCTGCCTGCATCAGGTCGAGCTGAATTTTCCACACTTCATGAAATAACACATCAGCCGTTGCATATGTTGAGGAAGTTAAAATGTTGGCTGCATCAAAGAAAAGCTTCAGGTATGCACAGAGAATTTCAACCTGCTTCCACTCAGCCATTGTAGGAGTCACCTTATAATCAGGATCAGAAGTATCCAAGCAAGAAAATACTTGTTTCAGCTCAGAAGCGTTCATCAGCATTTGATATGTGGTATCCCATTTTGTTTGGTCATCCACAATAAGTTCCTTTGCACTGGGAACTTGAAGTTGTCTCTTCAGCTCAAGAAACTTTTCTTCGTGGGCATCTGCGGTTTTAACAAACTTAACACTTTGGCGGACCTTCTCAACAATTGCTCTCATGGAATCTAACGCATCCTGTGCAAGATGGCTCAGAACACGAGCACAACAACTACCAATTATTAGCTGACCATTGAGAATATTTCCACCCTTGATCGACAGTAGATGTCCCAGGTTTTTTCTAACATTGTCATTTGCGAAGGATCGATCCAGAGTGAGAGTGAATAGCTTAGACTCTAAACACCAATCTGTCAAACATGCGGCAACAGCATGATTGAAGGCAACTTCTGAATCAGGAAAAGGTATCATGATAACATTGAGAAGTCGCCGCTGCAATTTCCAATCACAGTCAACAAAGTATCCTGTTAAGAAGACATAGCCTAAACTCTGATCTGAAGTTCTTAAATCCAGTGTCAGGCTAACATGTCCAGGAATTGCACTAATAATGTTCAGAAGGCTTTGCTTTTCTCTCAGGTAAATGTTAAAAATGTGGTCTTGGATGGTATTGACACTCACTGAACTAAATAATGGCTGAAGACTTCGAACAAACTTATTAAATCCTGAGTGTTCCACCATCTCGAGTGGGTAGTCATGCTGAATTATCATTTTTGCAATCTCATAGCAGCAACGTGTCTGATCAAATGGGATACTTGTTGGTCCTGAAGTAGCTCTGTAGCGCTTTCTTGATTTAAGAGTAGCACTTGCAGAACCATTAGTTTGCACAGTCGGGTTATATGGGGTGTGATTCTTCTCCTGGTTGATTCGATTCACCGGGCAAATACCCAAGGCAATATGTCGTTTGAGATGGCTGGTGCCTGCTAACTTTGAGCCACTAATATACGCAAAGGACTTTTTGCACTGCTTACAACAAGCCCTGGTACAGTCCGCATCAATTGTTTCAATTGTGAAATGTTCCCAAACTATGGACTTCTTCCGCCTGCGCTTATTCGGTTGTGCCTCTGAATCAGCTATCTCATTATGACTAGTTAGGGCATCCATATGAGCACCCTGCCAGCAAAGCAAACAAAAGATCAATGAAGATACTTTTTTCGCCAATTAAAATAATTTCATCAACTACCTACATGCATGTATTGTCAAAAACACCAACTAACTGCAATTCTTCATTGAGCTATACCCTTAGTTCATATAGAAATAGAAAAACATGTTACTTTATCGATGACATTTACTCTACTGCAAAAATATCAAAATAAGGCAGAAAGTTCATAACCTAATTCTGGCATTCAAATGTCTTAAAGTAAGTAAACATATGAAGCAATACTGCAATATTTAGTCTTTCTCAGGCATAAAGAATGAAGGCATTTGAACTGGACAAATTAATAATCTATGCAGCAGTAATGCAATATAGCTTAAGGGCTTAGACGAGTATTTTCAAGCATAAACCATGGAACATCACTGAAAATTAATGAAAGGTGATGCCCTTGAAATTATCCAACAATGATTTATCAACGTCACTAACATAATAAATTAATGGCCCCGAAGGCGTTATTTGTGTAGCCTCGAAGGCATCGTTTGTACGATCCACTATTTGCATGGCCTCAGAGGCATTATTTGCATGGCCTCAAAGGATTTATCTGTATTGCCTTCAAGGTGTAAGTTTTATTGCCTCAAAGGCGTTATTTGTAAAGCTTTGAGGGTGTCGTCTGTATTGCCTCGAAGGCATTATTTGAATTGCCTCAAAGGAGCCTTCTTCTGACAACAGATTTTCCTAATTCCCACCAAGAATTGTCAATCACATCCAAAGCACCATCAGAAAAACCTAGAACAAAGATGATTCTTTCTAGTTAACTCGATGATATATACTCTTCTAAATTTTCTTTTCACAGCTCTTTCAAACTCAATGCTTCTCAGACAACTAACATTGAACACCAATGGGATACTTCTAAAGCAAGACATGACTAGGAGGAGTATCCATTCCCTAATTCACATCATGATTGTTAAGCCGCACAGAAACACGTTTCCCATAATCAAAAATTTCTCAAAAAAGTTAACAGGAAATCTAAGCATAAATACAAAAGGTGAATTCTTAAACGATACGAATGTAAGGAAAAATCAATTTTAACGAATTTATAAATGCAGGAAAAGCTTGAATGCTATTTACATAAGAATCCATGAAACAACAGACACATGAACAAAAGCAATAAATTCCGCGCAAAAAAGGTACTTACTTTTTAGAACAACTGACGTCGCAAACCAATGGTGAAACAAAAACCTCTGTATCTAAAGCAGGGTTTAGGGTTTATACTTTATCGTTTATGATTATTTTTTTAATCGTAATTTAAGAAAAAATTCTGGAGGGAGAAGGAGAAGAAGATGGGCTTAGGCTTGAACTTTGAGGTTCAGAGCTCAAAACCCTAATGGACTGCGGCCGATATGAGGTTTTAGGCCAAGGAAGACTGGGTTTGGACTTTTGAGGCTTTTAAAGTCCAATATATATAGATTTCCTTCTAATTTACCCCCTACGCCGCCTGACGTGGAGCCCGCCGCATTTCAGCCAATCAGAGCCGTTTATTTGTTGGGTCCCATTCCTTCTTCCTATTCAGCTACGGAGAGATTATTTTTTGGTTACGTATATGATCCCATTTAACATTATTCCTTTTTTTAAGAACAAGTCTAATTGGAATTCACTTTTTTCTCCTTTAATTTCGCTACACTCCGGAATTATACTGGGTGCTATTAGATATTTTACCAATATAATACTGGCAATATTTAACTTCTGATCTCGAATTAAAGTCATAACTATCTATTTTGGCAAAATACATACTTTACCCATCGACCTTGTCCCCAAATCCCGCTTACACATCTGTTAAAGACGAGAATCATATTACACACCAAAACTTTTAAGGGGTCGTTTGGTATGAGGTATAAGAAGGTATAAGGGTGGTATAAAAATTTAATACCACCTTAATACTATGTTTGGTTAGTAAACCAAGTATAAGTTATCCAGGTGTTAATTTTAACACTGGGATAACTTATACCTTATAAAAGGTGGGGTAATTAACACCGGTATAACTTATAACTTCTTCTTAGAAATTATGCAATTGTCATTCTTAATACAACATCAAACACCTAAATAACAACAATCCCAGCATAACTTATCCCAATATAACTTATACCGGTATAAATCATATTCCAACCAAACGACCCCTAAAGGTGTGTCAATTACACACCACTTCGGTGTTTGACCATATCTGCTTAAAGATTGCTATTACATGTGCCAATCAGCATCTGACACGTGTCATAAATCGAAAAAAAGAAAAGAATAAAAAACTGGGGAAAAAAAACTCTGCCCCGCCCCCTCCCCCCCCAAATCCCACCCCTCCTCCCTCCACT